ATAGAACAATATACATTATACTAAGGGGTAGATAGTAATATACAAAATGCTGTAAGCATATTGATGTTTGTTATCTTTTCATTGCGATGCACAACAATACTTTGTTGAAGACTCTTGTAGGCTATATCAACACTGATGTTTATTCGTTAGACTCTGCTAGCCACCGAGTCGTGCCTGGTACCATTGGATAGAGGAGGTCCCACAGAATCACCCATGCTTTGAATTGAGTAAATCAGATAATGTGTGCCGGAGATATGGCTTATTGAACGTGGGCAGTACAACCGAGCCCACAATGACTGGCTGCGCTGGGAACAGAGACCATATAGTCGGAGTTTCAGCGGATGAACCACGCCTCTCACAGCCGAATGGTTGGAAGGATATGGGGAATCCCACAGAACCACGCCTCTCACAGAAGGATAGGGGGGATTCCCACAGAATTACGCATACTTTGAATGGAGTGAATCGGATATAACGTTTCATTGGAATTCACATAGGAATACAGGCATATTTTTGTATTAGATAATTTAATTTAAAACTAACCTTATATTTGTGGGCTGACATTGACAAAACTGCTGATGCGGATTTACTTCCTTCCCCAGCCGACGTGAAAAAACGGAATTATAGTCATGGAAAGTCAAGGCTGAACATTGTACATTGATTTTAATTACTAAATGCAACGCTAGCGGTCGCAGGCTGTTTGTTGGCTAGACATTTCTAAATATAAATTAGTTCAGCAAGTTTAGAGACGTCGGTCTTTAGGCTTCATTCACATGCAAATCCCGACCATTTACAATGCAATCCGTTTGCCCCACACCCCCAACAACAGACTCCTCAATATCCTACAATGCAATCCGCTCACCCCCAATAAGACTTCCATATCTTAGAACTGAGTTCGCGAAATCATCCAACCATAAGAAAAACTTGACCGATTTGCACAAAACGAAATAGTTATTTTCTCAAATGTTCTCCAAACTCATCCGTCAGTTCCAAAGTCTCACAGTATAATATGATAATAGCTGCCGGGTACTAACTTCAAGCTATTTTCTGTGGGGGCAGTGTCTTTATGATTTACATGTGAATGCGCGATAGAGGGAAACAATGGAACTGGCCAGCCAGTGACCTGAATTTTCTTCAAGAAAGGGAGGTGATAAATACTTAGACCGTGTCTTTGTGTGGGTATATGTTAGAACGCTGTATAGAATTATTACAAAACTGCGTTGTACTGTTTTCTGTTCTATTTCCACGTTGGTTGTTGGTTAAAAGCAAATGTATTTACATATGTATAACATACATTTCTCACAGACTTGATTACGTGTGATAATTGCTTCATATAGTTAGTGTTATCTGGGACAAAATAAGTGAGTTACATGAATGCGCCTCTTCAAATAGGATTATTGTCCCCAACCAAAGCAATTCGCGAGTCCGTATTATATTATTACAACAAGGTATTTGGTATTGAATGCGAGATGTACGTTTTGCTCATTATTGAAAAATAAAAATAATTTAGTGTGGTTACTCTAATTTCCAATGTGGCCAACTTTTCTGAACGGCTGATTTTATAAAAATGAGTGTGTCGCACTACGGCGTGGTTGGTATCATTGGAAAGGAGTAAATCTGAAACTGCCGGCGGGAGAAACGGGTCCCAGAGTGTTATAGTAATGTTTTAAATTATGCTGCACAAAGACTCCGTGCCCACGGAGTCATGTTTGGTACGGTTGGAATCATCCATGCTTTGAATGGAGGTAAATCGGATAATGTGTGTTGGAGAAATGGCTTTTGGAACGCAATAAATAGCTCATAATGAATTGCTGCCCTGAAAACATGAACATGTCTGAGTTCCAGCGGATGAACCACGCCTCTCACAGCCGGTTGAGGGATCCCACAGAACTATGCATACTTGGAATTGATAAAGTGTCATCGCAATTTACATATGGATATAGGCATAGTTTTGTAATATAGGAATTTAATAAATAAACATACATTTTTAAGTAACCTTAAATTTGTGTGCTGACACTTACAAACTGCAGGTGAATACTTTACTTCCCCATGCGACAGGAACGAACTACTGAATGCTCAAACAGCTAATTCGATTCTGTAAGGCCATTGAAAATGTTTCCTGAAACGCACACTAACTTTAAATTAAACCAAATTAAGTTACTTATTTTATGTGGGTATGGGTAACATAGGAATGAAACACTTCAGCCCGAATGCATTGAGCGCAATAAATCAGACAGTTGGAGTTAACAGTCGCGAAACAATAATCCCTTGAAATGCTCGTCTTTTTTGGTTACAATTATTTTTACAGTTTATTATAGAATCCATTACTTCAGTGGTTACATAAAGTAAAATTTTATTTCCTGTCAAAAAATGATTATTTTTTAAGATTGATTTGGTTTAATTTAAAGTAATTAGAGTGGTAATATGTTGACATAAAAGCCTAAATCTACGTGCACTTAATAAATAATAGTGGCCACTTTTAGGCCATCTATTCATTTGCCAGGAGGTTTTACATTTTCGCCACCTTGATTTTACAACAGCCCGGTCCTTCTGAAGCAAAGATAACCAAGATGCGCCATCTGCTGGTCATTGTGTGTCATTGCGTGTCCACAACATTCTCCCATTCAAACCAACGCATGGGTCATGTGACCCAAAACCGCGAACAACGACCCTATCTGAGCCTCGGCGCTCCTAGTGTTAAAAGATTGTTTCGATTCATTTACTTCTCGCAGCCTAAGCGAGAATCATACCCCTGAACCAACGAGCCAACGATACATACTTCCCTTTCGATTATTCTTCGAATGCACTTCAAGATCTTTGTGGGTTGAATGTGGGGAAGACGTTTTCAAGCAATGTTGTTCAAATATTTGTTGACTTTTTAGTACATCTCCTTATGCCATCACAAATTTAAAAGATTGTTTCGATTCATTTACTTCTCGCAGCCTAAGCGAGAATCATACCCCTAGACCAACGGGCCACCGATACATACTTTTCTTTTCCATTTTTTTTCTGCACATCAAGATCTTTGTGGGTTGAATGTGGGAAAGCAATGTTGTTCATACATTTGTTGACATTGTAATACCTCTCCTTACTCCATCACAACTGTAACAGATTTTGTCGGTTCATTTGTTTTTCTTTAACTAATGGTAACGCATTTTATTTAAAAGGAGAATATTGAATGAGAATGAAGTTTGACGCTAGCAATTTTACCAAAAGCAAATACCAATGTGGCAGTGAAATAGACAATGCTGGATCAATATTCAAGACTTTCATTGATGAATGGATTAAAACTGAATTTTCAGAAATAGACGTACTACTTCTGTCAATTTAAATGCTTTGCAGGGCTCGTCCGGGATTTGAACCTGAGACCTCTCGCACCCTAAGCGAGAATCATACCCCTAGACCAACGAGCCACCGACACATACTTTCCTTTTGACTTTTTTCGAATGCACATCAAGATCTTTGTGGGGTGAACGTGGGGAAGACGTTTTCAAGCGATGTTGTTCATATTTTTGTTGACTTTGTAGTACATCTCCTTACTCCATCACAACTTTAAAAGATTGTGTCGATTCATTTACCTCTCGCACCCTAAGCGAGAATCATACCCCTAGACCAACGAGCCGTCACCTAAAACAGAAACACACGGATGAATGGGTGAAACTATGAGACGCTGATTGTGTCCCGAATCAACATGTCTGTTAAAAGACACATTTGGCCTACTATTAAACACTGATAGTGTCCCGAATCCAAACATGTCGGTTAAAAGACACATAACCATAGACGTATCCTATACAAACGTCATCCCTTATGACAAGAAAAGTTTGAGTTGGAAGGAGATAACGCGATGCATTGACATATTACACTGTGACATATTACACTGTGAAGGATATGCTGCAAGTCTTAAGTAGAAAAAGACCGGCTTTAAAAAGGTGCAGTTGACCGTAAATATCTGCTGCCGAGTCGCAAGTATTTCACGGTAAAAGCCCTACAGCAAATATACACTGATACGAGCGAAAGAGTATTTTTTCACGGATACAGCCGTATCGTCAGTGGATTCCTGTATCTGCATCCTCATGCATGCTGACCGTCACGTCACCCGGTGGACTGAATACGCAATTTATTTTATTATTCTACTACCAAAAAGTTAAATTCTCATGTTCAATTTAAATAGTAAAAGATCGATACTTGGCGTCTGTGTATCGATAAAGTATTGCCACAGGAAATATCGCGATTTTATGCTGTATCGACTTTTTCCCCCACCCGTAACAAGAATGTATCTCACCTTTCTTGCGTTCACAAACCACAGATTGTGTTGTTATCCAGTCACCATTATATCAGACCGTGTGGTTTTGTTTGTTTCTCATTAAATATTGACAATACAATTTAATAAAAGATGAAAAACACTATATCCGACCGTGTGGTTTTGTTTGTTTCTCATGAAATATTGATTATACATGTTAATAAAAGATAAAGTATAATTGGAGAAGGTGGTTTGTCGCTAGAAAAATTCCTAAGAGCGACAGACAATGTGGGCACAATGGACGCTGCTGGATCAACACTCCAGACACCATTGAGGAATTGATTTTGACCATATACCACTGGGCTCGTCCGGGATATGAATCCGGGACCTCTCGCACCCGTAGCAAGAATCATTCCCATGGACCAACGAGCTGCAGCTAAAAACGATTGTCCATTTTTTTACAGCAGCACTTCACGATTATTGTGGGTTGCAATAAGGGAAAGATGTTTTCAAGACATTTGGTATTTTTTATAGTGTTTGATTTTCCTCTCCTTATCCAGTCACCATTATATCCGACCGTGTGGTTTTGATTGTTTCTCATTAAATATTGATTATACATTTTAATAAAAGATAATGTATAATTGGAGAAGGTGGTTTGTCGCTAGCAAATTTCCTAAGAGCGACAAACAATGTTGCCATAATGGACTCTGCTGGATCAACACTCCAGACACCATTGAGGAATGGATTTCGACCATATGCCACTGGGCTCGTCCAGGATATGAATCCGGGAGCTCTCGCACCGGAAGCGAGAATCATTCCCCTGGACCAACGAGCCACAGCTAGAAACGATTGTCCATTTTTTTACAGCAGCACATCAGGATTATTGTGGGTTGCAATAAGGGAAAGATGTTTTCAAGACATTTTGTATTTTTTTTGTAGTGTTTGTATTTCCTCTCCTTATCCAGTCACCATTATATCCGACCGTGTGGTTTTGTTTGTTTCTCAATAAATATTGACTATACAATTTAACAAAAAGTGAAAAACAATTCGAGAAGGTGGGGTGGTTTGTCGCTAGCAAAATTCCTAAGAGCGACAGACAATGTGGACAATATAGGCGCTGCTAGATCATCACCCCAGACACCATTGAGGAATGGATTTCGACCAGATTGATGGAGTCACTGTCCGACTGCACTGAATATAAAAATAACACTGGGCTCGTCCGGAATTTAAACACGTGACCTCTCGCACCCAAAGCGAGAATCCTACCCCTAGACCAACGAGCCACTGTAAAAGCGATTTAGATTTTTTTTTACGGCAGCACATCAAGATTATTGTGGGTTGTGTTAGGGGCAAGATGTTTTCAAGCCATTTTGTAAATTTTCTGTAGTGTATTTATTTCCTCTCCTTATCCAGTCACCACCATATCTGTTCGTGTGGTTTTCTTTGTTTCTCATTAAATATTGATTATACATAATAATAAAAGATGAAGAATGATTGGAGAAGGTGGTTTGTCGCTAGCAAAATTCCTAAGAGCGACAGACAATGTGGCCATAATGGGCGTTGCTAGATTAACACTCCAGACACCAGTGAAGAATGGATTTCAACCAAATTGAAGGAGTCACTGTCCGACTGCTCTGAATATTAAAATTACACTGGGCTCGTCCGGAATTTAAACACGTGACCTCTCGCACCCAAAGCGAGAATCCTACCCCTAGACCAACGAGCCACTGTAAAAGCGATTTTGATTTTTTTTTACGGCAGTACATCAAGATTATTGTGGGTTGTGTTAGGGGCAAGATGTTTTCAAGCCATTTTGTAAATTTTCTGTAGTGTATTTATTTCCTCTCCTTATCCAGTCACCACCATATCTGTTCGTGTGGTTTTCTTTGTTTCTCATTAAATATTGATTATACATAATAATAAAAGATGAAGAATGATTGGAGAAGGTGGTTTGTCGCTAGCAAAATTCCTAAGAGCGACAGACAATGTGGCCATAATGGGCGTTGCTAGATTAACACTCCAGACACCAGTGAAGAATGGATTT